CTGCAATTTTTATTGGCTCCGAGCCTAATTTTTGTAGATCCTTAGCCCGGGATTTTCTTGACATAAGGGAATCCATCAAAATGTAACTTTTGCGGCATAGGATCGATTTCACGGTCACGTAATTTACCGGCATAAGTTAACCAATTAAAAATCGGGATCAGGTGTAACGTTCGCCTCTAACCCGAGACTACTATAGACATCGGAAAATCGATCAGATTGAAACGTATACGATGAATATAATAAAAAAACAAAACAATCTTATCAGTTATAATATTTAAATTTATTAGAAGCATTAATTAAGATATTTAGACATTTATTTACACTTGTACAGGTATTTATATTGTACAAACTTGTCTTTTGCCAAAAACATTAATATAAATGAAATTTTTTGCCTAAACCTTTTCTTTTTATAAACACATAATTAAAGAATACGATATTAAGAAATGAAAATTATTGACTCATCGTTGCTGGGTTTGAATTATATTTTGAGTGAAACGTATTCTTGCACACGTTAAGATGAAGCTTCTTTTACTGTCAAGCTTTCGTCAGGATGTTCTATCTGAGTGCTTGAATCCTCGACTTTGTGGTCGTTCAATGAAGATTTGTCATTAATACATGAATCATCAATATTTTCAATATGATCGATTTTTTCATCAGATGTAGGTGTTGAATTAGAAGGATTCTCAATGTTTTGAATCGTTTCTATCATTTTAGCAGTCCTGATCCATTTTCTCCTACGAGTATATCTTCTGAATCCACTTTTAGAAGATGGATTATTCCATCGATTATCGAAATATCCCCAACCCTCTTTATCAACAGTACCCTCAGTATCAATCCACCAATTTGGATCAACCCATTCCCATTGTATTGCCTTTCGAATGAGTATATTAGGGTTTTCTGGTGATTTCGTTTCCGTTACCTTACTCTGAGGAAGTTCAAACGTATCTTTATCATTAATTGGTTCATTATATTCATCTGACCTATATAAAAAAATATATATAATAGTGTTAATAATAATAAAGAATCAACTATGATTTATAAAATATATAAATACCAAGGAGGTCTTTCGTTAGGAAATAAATTTGTTGTCCAATCTAACCCAAGCCACCAACGTTGATTTTCACATATAACAAACCGATATATTAAATCTACAGATGTCGTTTTTGTATCTTCCTTTGAAGATATACTTCTTAAAGGAAATTTTTTTTGTTGTTCTCTTACTTTACGAAATATACCGGATAAATCCCTAGTACCAACGGAAAACACTTTACCCTCTTGTTGCAAACCTCCACTACGTAGAAAACCAAGTATAAAGTTTACAAATCCACTGAATAATTGAGATTGCATAAGGGTATATCGAATAACTTTGGACCATGGACTATTCCATACAAAGAAACATGTACCAACAATTATGAATATCCATGATAACGATACAAAATAGTTGAATAAAATCCATACAGGATATGAATATGCTAAACCAAATAAAACCTTTCGTGTTTGTACAGGATCTGACCAATTAATATAAGAATTCACATGATTGAGAACTTTATGAAAAGAAGCGAGTTTATCTGAAATGTTATGTATCTCTTGAACGGTTCTATTTAGATCTAATTGTGAAGTCGCTAATGTAAAGTTAGACTTTCCTTTTTTTAAAAAATATATATATATATATTTATGTATGAATAATTTAGTTAACACTTATGCAAAAAGATTAAGCAAAAAAATACTATATGTTACCTAATCTCTCACTCTTTCCTCTTTCAACCCAGTTCCAACAGATCCAAGAAATTAAACCAATGTGAGCACCGTAAATTATTAACTCCTTGGGATAAAGGCAAATAGTCCACCAGGCAGCCACAAGTAAGCATGATTCCGAGGGACTTTTTGTTGACCATGAGAGCAAAGATAAAAAATAAGAGAACAAATGCACGAGTGGAGAAGTATAAGTCAAAACGCGAGTAATACTCGACGGAGTGGAACCAATAAAATCAACATGTTGTTGTGAAAGGTTATTTATTGCTACAGGAGTCACGCGAGGTACTTTAGATGACATTTCAGCCTCGGGAACGTCAGGGTCTATAGAAACATTTGCAAGAAAGAGAGCCTGAGAATCAAATACGAACGACATCAATCAAAATCATGAAAGCAAAGCACTATTTAATGAAATTTTTGAAATCATATGTTTTATGCATGAGATTAGATTTTTCGGTAAATTACAGGTAAAATACCTGGTTACAGGAATCACCATTACATAATTAAAATAAAGTATTACACGTGCTTATAGAATTATAGAATACAGTATGTTTATTTAATGTCTATTTCATTAAAGGTTTACATATTTTAAAATAGGTGTTATCTATATATTACAGTATTAAAATTCCTTCATATATATACTGTATATCAACTTTAATATAATCCCTTGTTATGAATTTAAACCAATTCAAATAGGTTGATATAAACGAGGGTAGACTGTACTTCAATTTTGACGCCATCAGGAACATCCACTACATTAATTTTTATAGAATTAAACCATATCGATATTATCGCGGTTTTCGAAATGGTAGAAATGAGTAAAAAAAATTTTTCTGGTATACGAGTATACTGCGTATATTCGTATGCTGGATTATTGATGTTTGATTTACTTATCGTTATTGTTTCAAACAATAAGTACATAAGTAATCAAACATCGATCTTCAATCAACGTGCGAGTATACAAAAAAACTTTTATTTGCCATTTTCAACCATTTCGAAAATAGCGATAATAATAATGATAATTTATTTCTCAAAAAACTATTTTTTACTGAAGGCGGTCCGAAATGAGCACGCATTAAAAATTCTTTACCACCTTGATTTTCCAATCAAGACAAGACTTCTTAGGAGCGTAATGAACAGAACCATTACTACTCTGTTATGATAGACAACGAATTAGAAATAATAATAATTATAATTATCCGGCACCTTACTATGATCGTACCAACAGAATAACTCGAGTCATTCTGTTAGTTCGGTCGTCGTAAGATACCGGATAACACCGTTATTGAATGCTACTCAGCCAATAACTTGTTTATCTGGCAGTGAATTTAATATGTCATTTCTGGGCCCCTTCGGGGCCCAGAAGCTGACATATTAAATTTAACAGCCAGATAATGAAATTATTTTCCAAATAATTTCCGTTATTGGCTGCTTCGCATCCAATAACTCTCTATTATTATTATTATCTATTTTACTGCTTGCCAAATAACTCATTTCCCTAGCCATGGTAAAAAAGTCGAATCATGTAATGTAAACAGCCAATCAAAATGATTAAAATATTGAAGATTTTAAGATTCTAGCGAAGGCTTCTCGGTAATGACTTGATTAAACTCAGTAAAAATTATTTTATTTTAATTCTATATATTTGTAGAATTAAAATAAAAAAAGAATCATTGAATTTGGATAGATATTTGTTGAGAAATCTTCATTAAAAATTTTAAAAAATGGGTGAATACTGGAAAAAATCAAAATTTTTTTTTGACTATCGATTCAAATTTAATGAAATATAAGTTAACCGAAGGTCAACTATTTGAAAAATTAGTAGTGCCTCGGGTACTGGCACTAATCACCCGAGCTGAGGTCGATTCAACCAGAAGGTTGCACAGAGCATAGTAACTGATCATTTAAAATTCATGCAGTTTCACTAGCCAACTTAATAACGTTACATAACACTTGATCAACATGCCATTTTATAGCATATAAATATAGCAGCCACAGCCTATTTTTCTATCTCTCTTCACAAGCAAAACAATTATTATTGAAAGTTTCGTTTAAACTTACTCTTGCGTCACACATATGAATCAATAACAACAACATTAAAACTAATAATACAGTAATTAAAAAAAACTCTTACTATTTTTTTTTTTTTTTTTTTTTTAATTCTTTGACAGTCTTGCCAGTGCTCAATTTATTTAAGACTATATTTAGGTGAG